CTCCCCTACACCCTCCCCCGGGAACTCCCTGGGTTGGCCCTGGATCCCCCTGCTCCTGTGTCCTGTCCCCATCGAGAGTGCTCTTGGAGCTACAGATATCAAAACTCTGACCCACATAAGCCCACCGGGGAAGTACCATAGAGAGAGGGAGAGACCCCACCAACACCTACTGGAAGAAGCTATGGGAAGATGAAAATACAAGAAAACACCTAACAACAGAAAGACAAGCTTGACACCACCAGAATCTAGGGAATCTACACCAACTAGACCGGAACACAACAAAAAAGCAGATGAAGCAGAAGGGAACGACTTAAAACTTATTGTCATAAAAATGATAGAGGCCCTCAAAGAAGATGTGAGGAAATCCCTTAAAGAAATAGAAGAAAAAACAAAAAAGTGGAAGAAATGAATAAATCTCTTAAGGAAAGTAAAGAAAGTACAGAAAGCCAAGAAAAAACAGGTTGCACAAAGACATAGAGACAGCTGACCTGAACAAGGAGGAGCTGACGGGCCCTCAGACTGATAGCTGGGAATCCAGCATGGGACTGACTCAGGCCCCCCTGAACATGGGTCTCAGCCAGAAGGACTGAGCAGTCTAAGGGACCTCAGACAGTGGAGCCAGGGTGTATCCCTGGTACACAAAAGAACCTTGCGAACACATCCCCCATGGAGGGATACTTCCTTAACCTAGAGACAGGAGAGAAGTCCTAGTCCCTACTTCAAATGACCTGACAGATCTAGATGACCCCACCTGGATGGCATTGTCCTACATGTGGAATTGGGGTGGGGGATGGGAGGGGAAGGTGGTCAAGGTGCATGTGAGGGGGCAGAGAGGGTAAAAGGGAGGAAGAGGGAACTGGGATCGACATGTAAAATAATAAATTAAATAAAAAAACAAAAACAAAAACAAAAAAAAACAGATAATGGCCCTGCATATGCTAGTCATTACTTGTGGCCTTCTGCAAGGAACATCACTATTAATCACTCATTTGACATCCCGCACAACTCTATGGGACAAGCCATTGTGGAACACACTCATGCCACCCTTAAACAATATTTTAATAAAATAAAAAAGGGGGAATATAGGACCTCCCCCAATTTTCAACCATCTACCATACTTTATATTTAAAATTTTTTGACTAGATAAAAATAACTTGTCTGCCATGGAGAGACATTGGAATAAACCCTCTCAAACATTGGGATGGGTCAGATGGAAAGACAATGGCAACTGCCCACCCCCTTATTAGCTAGGGTCTGAGGGGCTGTTTGTGTTTTTCCCCCAGGAACAGAGAAACCTATTTGGACATGTTCGCCCTGTGGATCCTGATCAGGAATCTAGTCCTTCTTTACTAGAACCTCTGACCCACAGATGGTTTGGGCCTTGGTGAGGAAAACACCCCCCCCCCCCCACACACACACCTTTCCTACCCCCAACTCCCCACCCCCAGTCTTAATACCAGTTAGTCAGGAGAGTTTCCCTCTCTCTTTTCCACCAATCATTCCCTGGGACTACTGGCTGCCAATGTGCTGCTGGAAACTTCATTACTAAGAAATTTGGCCTTCCTGACACAGGGGAGCCTTTGCTTCCAGAGAGTGCTTAATGTTTCTCAATTGCCCAATGGGTCATTCTCGGTGTCATGCATAGTTTTGAGTAATGCTTCCTGTGCTGATTTTCATTCCAATGCTAGTATGAGCAATTGCTTGGGACTTAGAGAGGTCCTATACCATAAACTTCCAGTGGGATCAGGAAAATGCTACTATATGGCCCCCTAGATCCAGGCCCTTATGCTGGAAGCTTCCCAAAAAATTATGACTTGCATAGGCCTTGCCTTGGGGACACTGTGCTCCACCTTTAATGGGTCCTTGGGGGAGGGAGAATCTCAATTGTTCTTCCAGAACCTGCTTCCTGAGCAACTGCTGGTCCCTAACGGACACCAGTGCCCTGGTAATTCAAGTTCCTGCCCTGCCCCCCATGGTGATGGAAGAAGGCCATGGGGGAGAAGAAATTAACCTCTACCACATGATGGGAGAAGTCATTCTGTATATACTGTATTATATTGTCTTTGTATTGTTTCACTGCTGAGGAAACAACAACTATTAAAACAAATGCTGTTGGGTCAATTCAATTTATATATATAAAAAATGCGTTGACTCCAAAATTTAAGTCTAAGGACAAGTTACTGAGGAAAAGGATTCTATTTTTGTTTCCACAGAAAATGATGTGGTTTGATCAAGCCAGACCCCATGAAACAGAGTCGCAGGTGACCCAACATTCAAAACAGTTGGGACATAGCAGCCTTGCAGACAACAGCCAGGAATTCTGCATCTTCTTAGGATCCCCATGACAGTGCCCTCTATCAGCAGGAAGTAGTTTGGAAAGAACGACGCCAAAATTCCCAAATATTGTTTATAAATATTTGTTTTCATTTAAATGGGGTTGGTTATAAATGGTTAATGACAACAACCAATCTCTTTTTAAAGGTAAAAAGGAAATTATGGTATAGATATGAATACTTTGTTTTGGAATGGATTTTCATTTACTGATACAATTTAAGGTCAATTTTGTGATATGTATATTTCTCTTGTTTAGGTATTGTGTTTATATAGCTCATTTAGAAATGTAATGTATAATTTAGTACAGATTATAGATTATAGCCCTATAATAGTCCCAAATTTATAGTGTTAGGTTTTCTAGATATATAGAGATGTATTTGAGATGGATAGGAATTCTTCAAACCTTTCAAAGACCTACAATATATGACATTTAAAATGGTTTAGGGTTTTTCTTGACAGTGAGACACAGATGCTCCGGCAACACCACCTATGTCAGAAAGGAAGATGGACATCGAAGAAGCACATTATGAAGTTTACTTCCAATATGGCAAGACTAACCATTTGGACAAGATACTGCTCTTGTCTGGACTGTTTGACTTTATGCTGTATAAACTGGAAATGCAGGACTCACAGAAAAGTGACTGCTGATTCAAGATGGACATTGCTACAGAGTTCTGCTTCATGGAAGAGTCTGCCAGACAGTCTGCAGGACAGAGAGAAAAGTGACTGACAAATTGCCAATACAAGAAGACAGGTTAAAGTTTCCTGCTTTGCTGAAGAGTCTGCCAGACACACTATGGCCTATGGGCTGAAGATGGAAGATTACAGAAGAACTTCAGGTGACTGACAAGGCAAGATGTCTCTGCCATTTCTAGAGTTTATATACTATCCTTCTGTGGTCTTTGAAGGAGTTGAAGACAGATAGTTATGGTTATAGTTTTCCTTGGTTAGGATTAAAGATAAGTTACATATAGGACTTTAGACTCACACATAAAAGATAGATGATAGAATATTTCTTTTAATCTTGTTAAATGTTAATGGACTAATTGTTAACTGTGCTTCTTACTTGATAACTGTTGTGTTATATATTTTGCTATGTTAAGGTTAAAACCCTTCTTTTTATTTAGACAGAAAAGAGGAGATGCTGGGAGATGTCATTCTGTATATATGTTTCTTATACTGGTTAATGAATAAAGTATTGTTGGCCAATAGGAAAGCAAGACATGTGGGACTAGGAGACAAGGAGGAAAGAGGAAGTAGTAAGGAGGAGTCAGGATGGGGAGAAGGGAGAGAACAGAACCGCCGGCCCCCACTCTCTGGTAAGACCACGTGGAAATACATAGAAATGGGTTACTAATTAAGACAGAGCTAGTCGATAAGAAACAAGTAACTGACCAACAACATTATATCAAATACAGAGTCTCAGTGCATTATTTGGGGCTGTGGCGGCGGTGGGACAAAACCAGTGGCAGGCGGAAAAATTATACTCCTTACAACCACCAAGAAGGTCTTTGATATTATTGCTGCCATCACTTCTGCCAATGCTGTGTCGGCGACTGGTGCCGCTGTTGCAGGGATTGCTGTCGCTCAGTCTGCCACCAATGCAGAAACTGTTAACCAGCTAGCAGACAGAATCAGTGAAGCTCTAGCTAAGCAGAATGCCCTGCCTGAATGCTCATATTCAGTATGGACTCCTTAAAGCAGCAAACTGCCTTACTTCAGGAACACGTTGGGGTATTATGGTTGGTGTAGCAGGCCTCCTGCTCACACTTTGTCATTCCTCTTATATCACCTTGTTTAAAATGCAAATGTCTCTGTAGTGGTCAACCACTTCAATGAGTACTTGGTGGGGCCTTGTCTTTTGTGAACTTTACCAATGTTTTGGCTCACCAGATAGTAGAGGTCAATAAGACCTAAATTACTCCTATTTCAGCAGAGGGCTGGTGGAATGCCATGGCCCAGATTGGAGGTTGGATACAGCTTTGAGGTGGCACATTGTCTCTAGGGGACTTGTGGCCGGTAGCAGCCTGGGCAGGGATTCTTGTGTTATGCAAGATCGGACAGTCCTTTTCACAAAAAGGAACTCAGTCTGGCCCATGGCTCTCCCAACAGTCATGAGGTCTGGTTACAGATGCTGCAGAAATGAGGGTTCCCCCATGACAGGCAACTTGTTGTAGGGAAACCTCCTGCCTAAGGTCCCCTGAGGACGGGTAAGGGGTGGCACCCTACATGACCTAAGCCAGTGTTCTCTCATAGAAAATAAAAAAGGGGGAATTGTAGGAATTAAGACCTTGGCTAAGAATTCACTTCCCCCTGCTACCCTCAGGAAAACAAAAGACATGTTTTCTAATGCAAAATGCTCCTTTGGTTTCCACAACCCTGAAAGCAACCCTGAAAGTGCCTTGGAACCTGGTCCTTGGAACCTGAGATGACTAACCGCCCCCCTCTGCTGTCCCCTCCCCCATCTGGTGCTGGAGTATATAAGCCAGTATCCAGAGTAAAATAAGGGAGAACCTTCTTAACATCAAGCAAGAGTCCTGTGTTACTAATCTCTATACCCTGCGCAGCATTTTGGTCCCCCGCTGTGCAGGTGTGGCACCTCGCTTGACAATTGTACCACATTTTAAAAATTGAACCTCAAACACCTGGTTTTCCAATGTACTTACCTTGATCATTAGAACTGACACGGTCCCCCACTCCTATCACATACCTCCCTCCACTCGGAAGGGGCACATGACCAGGCACTGGGTAATCTGGAAGGACTGCTGCTGCCAGAGGAGGGACAGGAACATTGGGTTCTGAGAGCTCTGGCCCTGCATTAGGGTAGGGCTGGGTGCTTCTGTTCCCAAGGTCTTCCTTGCCTAGAGTCAGGAAAGCTGCATTTGCCTCTGGAGGGGCCAGGGCCAAAGTCTTCACTGCGTCCTTGAAATCTAGGACCTCTACCTCTCCCACAGATGTCCCCTGTTTGTTCTGAGGGTTCAAGGAAACCAATTCTGTTGCCCGATAGGGTCGCCAGTCACCAGGGTGTGGCAAAGGAGAAGCCTGATCAGGATATGGAGACAAGGTCCTACTTTCCACAGGACCTGGATTGGCCTTTGAATTGAATGATACATCAATTCTGCTGTGGCCTTCCAAGGCCTTCCCTGGTCCAACTGGTGGGTATTCAAGGTCCTCTTCATTCTCATCATAGTAATCCAAATTGTCCTCAGAATAGCTCTCCAGGGCTGCGTCATGGCTGAAGGAGGGGTTGAGAGCAGCTGAAGAGTGCCGGGCAGTGGAAAGGTGGCCTCCAACTGTCGCTGGCCTGACATTGTCCAGGGGAACCCTGCTGCCGATATGAAAAGCCCATGCTCCAGGAATCCCCAGGTTGCTCCATCTAAGAACAAAGGAGATTATGACATATCTGCTCACCCTCCTCCACAATTCATTTTGAACCAAGACAAAGTCAGATTTTCCCTGATGTACGTCAAACAGAAGCAAACCTAGGCAAGTAACTAAAATATCATACTGGAATTTTAAATATAAACTGCCTTTTGTTTAGCATCATGCATACAACTCTAAACCATGTCATAAATCTGCTCTATAACCCAAAACCAAATATTTTATCTAAAGCCAGGCTATCTGAACACAAACAGGAAAAGCAAGAATCTTTTATGCTTTCTCTTCTTGAGTGAAAATTTAAAACATACCCCAAACCACTTAAGCCTAAACTTCTTCAACCACATAAACAAATCAATTCCTATATGTTTTGGTCTGGCCCAGCCTGTGCCAAGTACTTAACACTGTACTGTGTAAGTCTTCCCTGTATTCTGCAAGGTAGGGGTGGTAGCTATGCTCAATTTTACTGAGGAAATAGTAGCTTTAGAGAGGATAACTAATCTTAAATCAAACATCTAATAGCTGGCAGAGCCAGAGCAGTGCCTTTGTTTCAAACATCTGCATTAAATTACACTGCAAAACCAACACATAATGGACAAGAAGTTAAAAACACTACACTGTTATTCACAAGGACTAATCTATAGAGGAAAATGATACATGAGTATTTTTTAATGTCTGAGTCTAATGCTCAACACAGGTAAAATACAAATGTATTAATCAAAATGAGTCACAGTATCTGGAAACAGATACTCATTTTCTCCAGTATAGAGGACCATGAAACCCTCTCATTTATTTTTTGGTATCCTTGCCAGCTCATGGAGACATGGCAAAGAGGACAGCTATGTGTGAGACTCCTAACCCTAAGAGAAAGCTGGAGTTAATAAGGCTCTGGGAAGCTTGAACTAGCCAATTATACCAATCCAATGTTTGCACTAAATACTATGTGCAAATCCTCCCGTTCTACTGAATGTCCTTAAAGAATGAGGAGTAAGAGTGAATGGCTTATAGGAAAATTAAAAATTCACTGAACCATTCAAGACATCTTTGTTCTTTTGTGCAGGCATTCATCATTCTAGTCTAGATTTCTATAGCAGTAATGTTTAGTACATCTTGAAATTCTCTGTATTTCTGTGTCTTCTCAACCTGTGCTCAAGTGCACATGCATTGTTGTTGCTGTACAGGTTGTTCATTGCCAACTTGATGCAAATTTAGACACATCTGGGAAGAGGGGACTTAGATTAAGGAATTCCCTCAAGCACACTGGCTTGTAGGGAGGTTTGTGGGACATTTCCTTGGTTAGTGACTGATGGGGGAAGGGCAGTTCACTTGGGCCATATAAGAAAGCATGCTGAACAAGACATGGGATCCAAGCCAATAGTGATGTTTCTCCATAGTTTCTGCTTCAGTTCTGTCTCCCTGCAGGTTCCTGACCTGCCTGAGTTCCTGGCTTGGCTTCCCTCAATGCACTGTGACCCAGGATATATAAGCCAAATATACCCTTTCCTCCCCAAGTTGCTTTTGGTCAGGGTTTTATCACAGCAACAGAAAGCAGACAGCAGCAGCTGCTATAGTTCACTTAAATACAGAAAGCAAACTGCCATCCTTTCTGTGCTTTGCTATATTTACTTGCTACAGCTTCTCTTTCATGGTCTCATGTGGCTCAGGCTGGCCTTCAAACCATCATGTAGCAGAGGATAACCCTGAGCTTCTCTTCTTTCTGCGTACACCTCCCAAATACTGGGATACTAGGTGGGAGCCACTGTGCCAGTTTATGTGGTACTGAGGATCAAACCAGGGCTTTATGCCCACAAGGCAAGCACTCTACCAGCAAGGCTTCCTCCTGCCCTCACTTGGTAGGCTAATGGTAATCAATGTTGTAAATAAACAACACTAAAGAAGACAAAAGTCCAGGCTCGAAAAATGGCTCAGCTGGGAAACTTGCTTATCAACAAGAGCTGAGAGCCATACCCAGACTCCACATGGTGGAAGGGCAGCAAAACTCCCACAAACTACCCACTCACCTAGACTCACCCAATCCCTGCCCCTCCACACACACAAAGTGTAATTTTAAAAAAATCCTAAGAACCTTTGTTTATCCACACAACAGGGGTGCTACAGCTGGGAAGCCTATTAAATTTGGAAATGGAAAGCTATAAAAGCTTCAAGGAGTACAAAATATGGAAGAGGAAAGCTAAATAAATGCCTTCTAATGAGACATAAGTTAGTTTCCCAGTGCTTGATCTTACACTCTGAGGTCATTTGGAATGCTTCCTGATAGAAAGAACTTGTCTCCTAGAAAGAAAAACTGGATCGTAAAATAGATGGCCTTGCCTTCCTGCCCAAGTTCTTAGGAACATGTGAGAAAACCCACATTAAAGGTCTAGCACAGACCCTGTGGGCAACACTTAATAACCACTCTCTTCCCTTCCTGAATGTGCATATTTGAATATTCAGAGAAGCACTGAAAACATCAATAATGTATGGCATTATTCATTGAGAAGGAGATTCCAGAAGAGACAAGGGTCTCCTCTTTGAGATTCATAGCAGAGTCCCCAGAGAGAACCAGGACCATGGTTGTGACCTTCTTTAGATCACAAATGTTGTCCCCACAATGTTGGGCATATGTTACAATGTTTAAACCCACACACTGATAATATTGACAGACTCTGGAGGAAAGAGGTCTAGAAGGCAGTGTCCAGCACAAAAATGCTGAAGAGGAGGCAAACCCCATTCTGGAAGGGCAGGTAGCACTGTTGTCACTCAAAGAAGTCATAGGCAATTCTCATTTTAATTTCATGCTATTCTGTTGTTTGTATTTTGTTTCATTTTATTAAGCATGGAGTACAGCAAATCATTCTGGTCGTATCTCAAAACTGTTCTCTGGCAATTCTGATTATTTTTAGAAAGCATCAAGGAAAGAAATGAAAGAATGGATGTGGGTGGATGCCTGTGAGGATCTTTATGGCTCTGGTAGGTAAACACAACTGTTCTTCACAGGCTCTTTGCACACATGCACTTACAACACAAACATGCACCCACTTCCTGTTGCCATGCAGATGCCAACTCTCTTTCTAGGATTTTGTGATTCCTGGCCCTCCTTCCCAAGTGTTGTTGTGCAGGGCCTGTGCCTTAAGAATTGTAGTTATTTCAAGTATGAAGCCCTCTTTCCAAGGGCTCTATATGCAACCCTGGGAGTGAGAGTCTTTAAGCTCCTGGGTAGGAGATGAGAGAGGACAAAAGGTGAGTAGCTAAAATGAAAGTCTCGACTACACAGTAGGCGAGGAGACCTGAAGATACCCCACATGGATTAAACAACAAGAAAGGGCACAGAGGCTCCGTATAAAATATAGTTCATGATTCAGTGCTTCATTCAGATCTGTGCTGGACTATGGCTTGGCCATTTAACTCTGACACAGGCATCTTACTGAATTTCCATGAGGTGATTAAAAAGTTGAGACAATAACAAGGATTACTCTATAAGTGGAATGAGTTTTAATTAAGATAACATCTGCAAATGTTCTGTCACAATGCTTAGCAGATAATAAATGACCAATGAATTTCTGCTGAGTTACCCCATATGCCTACCATCTAGCTGCTAAGCACAAGGGTAGATGAATGTACAAGGGTAAGGTTTTTTTGTAAATGATTATTCAGTGCAACCAGAAGTCAATAAATCTTGTACGAGCACTAATTGGACAGAAAAATGCAGAATGGCCTAGTGCTGCACTAGCAGAAAAAGCCATTGTCTCTGGCATTGCTGTGGGCAAAACTATCAGCATGACTTCAAGTGATGAAGCCTGAGGAGAAATCATGAGATTTCTAAAAGCCCCATCCATTCTCTCTGCAAATTATTATTACTTGTCATCTAATCTTCAATAATACCTGTTTGAAACACTAAGTCACAATGCCTCCTCCTGAGTAATAATTAACCTGAAAAGCCTGTATTGAGACAGTTATTACTGGATATTGTTATGTGGCTCCAAGAATAATGTTTTTCCTAGCAAGCCCCAGTGGTTCTGCAAACACACACATAATCACTGTTGGTTCTGGTTCCTATGCCTAACAGCACAGGGAAAATAAAGAATCTTTTATATCTTGGAGAGCCTGAAGCTCCAAGGTCAAGCTTAGCTACTGGATTTGCTCCAAGCTTATTATTAAATGGTCTCTGGCCATTTAAGATCATGTCCCTCCTAAATGTCCTTCCAATGAAATAGCACAGGCACACACTCCATATAACTTACTGGTAGAGATTTTTCACAGACTGCTCAGTGTTAGTCAGGCTGAAATATGGCACTTCTCTCTTCAAGTCATCCACCTCCCCTCGGCAGAAGCCCACCCTAGCAGGAAGCTGCAGCTGAACATTATAGGATTCTTTGGGGCGGGTTCCAAAGAACTGAAGGCCGTTGCCAGGATAGAGAAAGAGGGCGTAGGTATCAGATCCGTCAGATGCCAAAACTGCCTGGAAAGTGTTCCGCTGTGGACAAATAGGAATTGCAAACATCCTTAAATAAACAAATAAACAAAAGGAGAAAAAGCAGAATGTAGGCAAGGTGCCAGAGTCCAAAATCCTTTTTAGGATTTCTCCACATTGCTTTTAAGTACAGTCACTTTTAGAATTTTCTCTCCAAATTACAAATAAAACTATTGAAGCTACACCAGTTACTATTTATTCTAAACCTCTTCTACCAATTGAGATCAACAGTTGGATTATGCACAAGTAAAACACTGGTTAAGAAATCTCAGGATTGTAGGGAAGAGGGGATGAGGAAGATAACAAACACTAAGGATGACTAAAAAAGCCATATGGAACCCTACCTGTCATAATGCACAGCTTTCAGCTGTCCAACTAAAAAGCCCAGTGCAGTCTGGGCAATGGAGGCATAAACCTTTAATCCCAGCACTCAGGAGGCAGAGGCAAGCTGAGCTCTGAGTTCAAGGCCAAATCAGTCTACAAAGCTAGTTCTAGGACAGCCAGGGATATACAGAGAAACCCTGTCTCCAAATACAAAGACAAAACAAAATAAACACACACAAAAAGAGCTCAGTGCCAGGTGTAGGATACCTCCCACACAAGTTGTTGGTCAAGGGTGTCACAGAGCCACCCATATCAATGCTGGCTCTACTCCTAGAGCTGTTAACACTACATATGTAGATCAAAGGATTTGGAGAAATCAACCAGGTGCTAACTGGAAGCTCCCAGCTCTGACAGGAGCTGAGGGATAAGTCACCAACAATCTCACCATAGTGAGATGGCTGAGAGAGCTACAAACAAAAGCTCTGGCAAGAATGTACTCATGGTCCCAGCACTACGGAGGCAGAGGCAAGTGGATTGCAGTGAGTTTGAGGCCAACCTGGTCTACAGAGTGAGTTTCAGGACAGCCAAGACTGTTACACAATGAAACTCTGTCCCGGGGAGGGATATACACATGATTGCAATAAGTGGCATATCGCGGTAAATAAGGATCAGGATAAACAAATAGGCCGAATAGATGTTTATTCAGGGAGAATATACAGATTATAGATAGTTACCTATGATAGTCAGAACTTATAGTTAAGTTAGTTAGGATTTCTAGATATACAGACATGTATTTGAGATGGATAGGCATTCTTCAAACCTTTCAAAGACCTACAGAATATGGCATTTAAAATGGTTTAGGGTTTTCGTGACAGTGAGACATAATTGCTCTTGGCAATACCACCTGCACCAGAAAGGAAGATGGACATTGAAGAAACTCGTTATGGAGTTTGCTTCCAATATGGCAAGACTAGCCATTTAGACAAGATACTGCTCTTGTCTGGACTGTTTGACTTTGTGCTATATAAACTGGACATGCAGGACCCACAGAAAAGTGACTGCTGATTCAAGATGGACATTGCTACAGAGTTCTGCTTCATGGAAGAGTCTGCCAGACAGTCTGCAGGACAGAGAGAAAAGTGACTGACAAATTGCCAATACAAGAAGACAGGTTAAAGTTTTCTGCTTTGCTGAAGAGTCTGCCAGACACACTATGGCCTATGGGCTGAAGATGGAAGATTATAAAAGAACTTCGGGTGACCAGGCAGTGAGTTGTCTCTGTCATTTCTAGAGCTTATATATTATCCTTCTGTGGTCTTTGAAGGAGTTGAAGACAGGTAGTTATGGTTATAGTTTTCATTAGTTAGGATTAAAGATAAGTTACTTAGACTTTAGACACACAAAGATAAAATAGATGATGAAATATTTTCTTCAAATCTTGCTAAATGTTAATGGACTAAATATTGTTAACTGTGATTCTTACTTGATAACTGTTGTATAATATATTTTGCTATGTTAAGGTTAAAACCCTTCTTTTTATTTAGACAGAAAAGAGGAGATGATGGGAAATGTCATTCTGCATGTTTCTCATACTGGTTAATAATAAAGCACTGTTGGCCAATAGGAAAGGAAGATAGGAGGGACTAGGAGACAAGGAGGAAATAGGAAGTAGGAAGGAGGAGTCAAGATGGAGAGTCTGGAGAGAGCTGGACGCCAGCCGCCTCCCCGGTAAGAGAAGGCCATGTGAAAATACATAGATCAGCAGAAATGGGTTAATAATTAAAGGCAGAGCTAGCCAATAAGAAACAAGTAACCGGGCCAACAGTATAATATCAAATACAGAGTCTCTGTGTATTATTTGGGGCTGGTGTGGCAGAAGGACAAGACCAGCGGCGGCAGACGGAAAAACAGTACACCTTACAGTGGCATGAATGTTATGAGGATAATCAACCACTTTCTGGGTGGATTTAAGGCCTGCTAGACAAGATGAAACTTCTGCCTAGTATTGTAAATCAGGGCAAGAAGTCATGCTGGGGAGCTCATAAGCCCTTGGAGTGAACCTACAGCTATTGTTTTGTTAAATGGATATAATATCAAACTGCCTCTAAATACCTAGGCCTTTAAACCCATTGATTAGTGCAGCTCTCAGCCCTAAGAGGGGAAGCGCCTTGTTTAGTGTACGGTATGTATAGGCTCACAACTAGTCAAAGCACAGAAAACACACTATCTGTGGAGGTGCTCAGTCACAGGTGGGCCTGGTCCCAGCTACATCTATTTCCCTCAAAGCTCAGAGAACATCATAGAAAAAGAGGTAGAAGGAGTTTAAGAATCAGGGTCAAAACAAAGTCTCGTGGTCATGACAGTACTATAGTACTCATGAATACACAGCAGCTGTTGTGATCCATATAAAATCAAACCGCTCAAAATTTCAGCATGGATGTAGGGAAGTCCCCACCTGTAGCTGAGCAGGTACAGACAGTTGATGACTGCCAGGGGAGGAAGAGTTGGTATACTGTAGGGTGTGGTCCCTGGTGGGTGGCCCCTCACCCATGCCCAAATGGGCTGCACTACCTTGTACTCAGTGGGTTATTAGAACAAAAGGACACAAAGTTGTGAGTGGACAGAAAGAGAGGAAGAGGGAGGTGAAATATACTGTATGAATGTATGAATTCTCAATAAATAACTTGGAAATAGTATATTTAAAAATTTTTAAGGTTTCAAGCTTCTCCAATCCAAACTCTTTTGGCTGAACAAGGAGCAAAATTAACTTATTCATTCCCATAACCTGAGACCTAGTTTGTAATCCTGTGTCTCAGCATCTCTCAATTGGATCATTCATCTATCCATCTTCCATTCACCATCCATCCCATACACCCACCCACCATCTATCCATCCATCCACTCAATGCCCACTGCAGGCCAAGCCTCAGTCAGAAACTGAGTAAACAAAAGTCCTCCTTACTGCTCTCACACCAAATTCTCTTTTTAACTTGTCAAACTGTAGATGAGGAAACAGACCTCAGAACTTGTAAATGTGCTTAAGGTTGGGCAACGAGTAGTGGTGGCAGCCTGCAACAGTCAGCCATCATAACTCTACTAAGCCATTCAAGGGCATGTGCTCTGATCCAAACTCACCTCCCAGGTTTGGCTTCACTACACCCTCAAAACAGTGTTTAACAGTTCTCACTCCTACTATGTGTTTTGATGCTGTGTTCTTATTTCCCTGCACCTAGAAAATCCTAACCTTTCAGCACTGTTCCCTCCCTGAAAGGCTTGGTGAAGAGGGCAACAGCCAGAATTGAGTGTTACTTGGGACAGGGATGGTGGCAGAGGCCACAAGAGAAAAGAGGGTGTTCAGGACATCAGAGTGGGGTTTAGTGGGGACACAGTGGCAGCCAGTGAATGTAGATAAACACTGCAGGAGCCAGGAGTGATGGAGTTGAATTAACACCCAGGTGACTCTGAAATCACTCCTGGATATTTCATTTACTCAGTTTCAACAGGACCTCCCTGCCTTTAGCACCTTCTTTCACCAAAGAATTAGTTAAGGGATACTTGGTTGTCTTAGGTGCTACAGTCTTCTTCTCTCATAGATCCTATTTGTTTTACAATAGGGAAACTGGGCAGGGATTTTTTTAAAAAACACACGCAGAGATCAGGCTACAGAAACCCACAGAGACAGCGCTGACCTGAGCAAGGAGGAGCTAATGGGCCCCCAGAATGATAGCTGGGAATCCAGCATTGGACTGACTCAGACCCCCTGAACATGGGTCTCAGTTAGAAGGCCTGGACAGTCTAAGGGATCTCTGACAGTGGAAACAGGCTGTATCCCTGGTGCACAAAAGGACTTAGGGAGCACATTCCCCATGGAGGGATAGTCCCTTAACCTAGAGACAGGAGCCAGTTCTTACTCCAAATGACTTGACAGATTTTGTTGACCCTTCCTGGAAGGCATCACCCTAACAGTGGAGTAGGGGGTGGGCGGTGGGATGGGAGGGTGGTCGGGGACATGGGAGGGTGGGAGAGAGGAAGGGAGAGGGAACTGGGATCAATATGTAAAATAAGCAAAATAAATAAAGAAAGAAGATGAATGACAGGGAAAACCATTTATTGGTACCATACCTCCCCATTTTGCTAAACAAGACAAAACTGGGAACAGGTAAGGACCTCAAATTTGAATTCAAGGATGGAATGTGTCCTTTTGGTTTTTCTGTCTTATTCTAGAACTTCTCAAATTAATTTTACCTTTCCACCATCTAATACTATTGATTAGACTGAAGTTGGACTGATTGGACAAAGAAATGCAGATATTAGCGTGGTTTTCAAGAAGAATCTATACATTCCTGTGTTCTCTAACTGGAAGAGTCTGCTTGCCCTCCTGTTTAAAAAGAAAAGGTTCATTTACTCAGTTCCCACCTACTATATTAACAGTTGTAGTTGTCATTATCTCATCAGCAAAGTTTGACTCTTCCTCAAAAGGTCAGAATCTCTCAAAATTTCCATCTCAGGTACATGCCTCACACACATCACCAGTCAGGGTGGGGCCAGTTATGGCAAGAGTTTTATTTCCATCACAACAAAGTTCAACTAGGGAGATAAAAGAAGTGGGGCTGAGAACCCCAGCCTTAAATAACCAACTGTGGAGGTTCCTAGCATGGTGGCTACAGTCAACATTGCAAG